GACTCTGCTGCTCGTGCTTGTACTTGCAGTGAAAGGTAGCCTAGTTTGCTTGCCTTCACAGCAAACTACACAACTTGATTTGCTTATATCCTGCTCTTCCTGATAAGTTACACCTTCAACTGCTCCTTTTTTCATTTTCACAAGGTCATTTATATTGATATGACCTAATCGTCTGTGCCAAGTGTTACATGAGGTCTGTGTAGCTGCCGCTAACAGCTGCTCTGATTTTTCAATGTTTAATCTGTATCATTTTCCAAGCTAGCTTCACCAACACAAATATTCTGAGAATTGTAAATGTAACATCCATCTTTATTGAAGGATACTCTGTTACTATTTGCGATCATTTTTCTTACTGAAAGCAAATTTGTAGTGAGTGTTGGTATGCACAAAACATTGTTCATTTCTACTTCATGTGTGATTGTTTTCACTCGCGTAGTAAGCTGAAGATCTCCGGAACACAACACTGGAACTTTCGTACGATTAGCGACAATAATTTCTTTTACTTTCATTTCGTAAGATATGTTTGTCAACATGTTCTTGTTTGACACCATGTGAGCACTAGCGCCAGAGTCGACGTACCAGTCGTGAGGTTGACTCCTCACTGGATACAAAGAAGAATATTGAATTAACATTTACTAAAAAATCGTTATTTGTTTTTAAATTATGGTTTACCGGTAAAAGCCATGTGGTTGAAGAACAAAGAGAGAGACAAAAAACAATTGACAATGACATCTGTCATATAATTCAGTTTGAAAAGGTGTGTTTGTTTGTCGATGATAAAACTATGGAACAAAAGAGAACTATGGTGCAAGTGTGATCAGAGACATCTGCTGTTCTGTAAGTAACTCAATGAGAAAACCCAAGAATCAAATATGTTAATTAAGGTAAAGCCCTGCCATAGGGAGATTGGAAGTTTATTAAAAAAGGAAATATTTAAGATGTTATGTATTATATTGATGAAAAACCAGAATTATCATTGGTTTGGAAAACACGTAGATTTTTGTCTATCTAATAAAGCATAGATTTCACTAAGGTGATCAATGTCTGATCTTTTATTAAGGCAGTTATTGGATTGTAATATAAATGACATTTCCAAAAACAATCTTTTATATGTGTTTCTTTCAGTTGATACAATTTTTGTTGAATTGTAGTCCATTTTATGACCTTCTTTAGAAACATGATTACTGAGAGCGCATCTCTCGGGATGTAATCTACTATCACTTTTATGTGAGCTGATTCTGTCTTTGAGTAATCTTGACGTTTGACCAATATATTCCCTACCAAAATTTAAACATGGAATGGAATAGATTGAGATTGAAAGGTAATAGGAGTTCTATCTTTAAGTTTCGACAATAATTCATTATTGGTTGATATGGTTCTGAAAGCTATTTTTACATTTACATTTTTGAAAATTTTGCGTTACTTAGGTGTCATATGACTTGTATATGGTAAATTAGAGAAAATTATAGGAATTGGAGGTGGATCAGCTCCAATTGTGACGTTGTCAGACTGTAAGGGATCCAACTGGTTGTTATTGTTGATTTGAACGTCAATGGTTGACGTAGTAAATAAGATCTTCTTAAGTAGAGGATCTGGGTAAGAGTTATTGGTGAATAATTGGAAAAGTATATTCGAATTTTTGTTATGAAAAGAAGGATCGGAAATCTGCAGAATGTAGTTCTTTATTTGCTTGACCAAGTTAAGTTTCGTCGACTGCTTATGGTATGACCAATAGTTCAAGAACATACTAGAAGTGATAGAGTTACAATACCAATCTATGAGTAGAGTGTTATCTTGACGTAGGCCGTTTTTGCCTGATCATGATTGGCTAAGGTTCTACCTTTGAGAAAGTTATCGAATTGTTTGAAAATATGGTAGTCGGTTGGCAAGAGGTCTCTACAACGTCTCCTGTCATCACACGTGATGATCCGATCAAAAAAAGGATTGTTTTGGTTGCGCAAAAGCGAAGAAGAACAGACCTCGAAACATGACAAATTTTGAGGATCGTTCAAATCATGGTGCTCCAACTTTTCGAGCTTTTTGACCTTTCCAATACGTTTGAANGTATAATAAACTTACTTCTCATTTATTTCACAGTTACTAAAATTTTTAGATAAAGTCCAAGCCTGGGGCAAACTCCTGTCCCTTCCAACTTGTCGCCTACTGGAAATGTTCCAGTGCCCATACTGACTTGAAGATCGACTACAAGTACAATTCTCATGCCATGAGTTCACCGACTCCGCTTTTAAATGTTGCAGTAGCTGTACCCGTACCGGGAATTGTTAAACATATGCAGACCAAACCTATTGCACAATGGTAAGAATTGAAAATGAAACGAATATCGTACTTGAGATTTGCAAGTTCTTGGTAAAGAAATTTGATCTATAATGGAGTTTTAGAATTGAGCTATATTTTTCCAGGACTTTTCTATTCTACGGTCGAGTAATGTGCACAACACAATTTTAAATAATATTTATTGTTTTTTGATCGACGGAGTGTTTTGGTGAATTTTAAGAATATCGACGATATGTTGACCCGTCGGTTCACCGTTTTGTCTCTTGTGAGTCGACGAGATAAGGACTTTATTTTCCTGCTCCAGTTTTTATCATACTCTTTTTTTTGTTTGAAAGGTATCACAGCAGATTAGACCAGTAAAATTAGAAATGAAATTATTGTAGAAAGAAACGCAAATAAGGAAAATGATTCTTGAAAAACAGTAATATATATTTACCCATATTCAACCCATTTATTGACTTAACTTCATATACACATGTGCGAAATATGAAATAATAAAAAAGTGGAGTATGAAATCGTTGGTCCTTTACATTATGCCCAACGGAAACTCGGACGACATATTAAATTTATTATATATCACGTAGTGGTCATTATTGTTAGATAACGGATTCCGTGAAATTAATTTCTTCTCAGATTTCAGCCTATAGTCATGAAAAATATTTTTGTGATGTGTGCTTACTGTACTTTTCAAATGAGTGTAAATTACTCCATCAGTTGAATGATTGTATTCAAATTTCATTGACTACTCCCAATGAACAATTAAAAATTGATGAATATTGTAACACGGTTTCCGATAATATTTTGAAGTTTGAGAATTTTGAAAGACAGTTAGTTACATGCGCCTTTCGTGGTATACGCTTATTTCCAATTCATTCTGAAACCCATACATACATATGAACCATATCCTGTACGCTCTTTTACAAATAAAACATCCATTCACCAGTCTTGTTCTGTTGACACATCGAATGCTCCTTCGACGATACAGCTTCCAAATTTGCTTTGTATCGTTGAACAGATGCTGCCAAAGTATTCGTTTCGAGATTAGAGCATGTTCTAACCGAAATTTGTCATAAATATTTGAATAAGGTTGTACCAATGAAGCCATTAACGGGTTAAAATAACAAGAATTTCTCAGTTCTTATGTATGTGGTATATGTGAGAAGCCTTTCAAATCGGGTGATACCAAAGTTAGAGATCACTGCCATTTAACTTGTAAAAAGAGATGTGAGGCATCTCATTCGGTTCGTAATTTGAACTACAAATTACCAAATTACATTCCAATAATTTTTCATAATTTGAGTGGGCATTGTATGCCACAGCCGACAGGTGGGTTCAAGTGGCTATCCAACGAAGAAATCCTTCAGCTGGATATCATGAATGAATCAGACGATAGCTGTCAAGACTATGTCCTAGAGGTAGATATTCACTATCCTGAAGAGCTGCATGACACACATTCCGATTCACTATTTCTATTCGTGAAACTCCAAAACTCATTCCAAATCTCAATGATAAAAAAACATATTTTATATACAAAAAATTCAAACAAGCAATAAAATGTGATCTGATGGTTATGAGGACTCTAATAATAATAATAATAATGATTTGCCTATCGATGACAACTCTGGCAATGACAACGGACGCTTTGAGTGGACGCATGAGCTAAGAGATAGCCTTATGCATTGCTACGAGAGTGGTGAGCCCGCGCGAAGAGGGTACATGGCGAGATTGCATGCTCTGTGGTGTGAAACACATCCGGNAAGATAACACCTCCATAGCATCCACATTGTTGTGCAGTAATTTATACAGAAATATTATTTCAGGAAATTTTCTGCGTAATTCAAGACTTTCAATATTGAATGTTATGGTAAGAGATTCATATGGAATACCTCTATCAGGATAGATACCATAAGATTTGAAGTAAATAAACTTTAGGAAAAGACGTTAAACTTTTTCAATTAATGTATTATAGCAGTTGTAGAATAGAGACCATAGAACAAACAGAGCCATATTCTAATTTTGACCTTACATAGGCTACATAAAGAGTCAATAGAGCACATATGTTTGAAAAAGATCCACAATTGCGAACTATGAAGTCATAAACTCTCAATGCTTCACTTACTTTCGATCTAATGTGGTTGGAAAAAGACAAATTTTGATCAAAATATACACCAAATCTTTAATTGGGTAACTTTGTGACAGTGAAATGGTATCTACTCAATAATTGTACTCGATGACTGACATTTTCCTACTATAAGACACTACTTTACATTTGGAAGCATTGAGATATAGTTTGTTTACTTCACACCAAGTCTGTACATTTTCTAACTGTCGTTGCAATGTCTAACAGTCTTCGATAGTTTCGACAGGTGAATATATTTTTAAATCATCTGCATAAAATAACTTATTACAATCGACATAATTACTGCGGTCATTAATGAATAATAGGAATAGAAGTGGGCCGAGATTCGACCCTTGGGGTACTCCAGATGAAGGATTGTAATAAAAAGAATCATAGCCGTTATAAGATACAAACTGTTCGCGTTGAAGTATGTAGGATTTAATACTGTTTTTTATAGCTAGCAAAACACCACCACCACTTTCTCGAGATACAACATCTAATTTACGGTCGTTTCTGAACACTGTGTAACTTTCCGAAAAATATTCACTATTGGAGACGTCAGACGATAAATTAGTTTCGCATAAAGCAATAAGATCGAATTTCTCCTGACTCACAGCAGAATACAAAGCTTCACATTTTGAAAGAATTCCGCGAACATTTTGAAAATAGCAAGTGACTCCGTGGATACTGTTGGGCAGTTCCAATTTTTTATTACAATTACAGGAATATTATTGATATATCTCATAATCAGGTTTGATTCGCCAGCCTATATACGTTCATTTAGTTTGTCACGAGTTTTCTTGTACAATTCCTGTTGCTGTGGGGTTTTATCTAGGGATGATCTGATTTTATTCTTGAATTTAGAATTTGCAAGATTTTTTGTATTCCTGATAATATCTTGAACAAGTTTTTCATTTGTGAGACTAATTCTAACAAGCCGTTTTTTTTGCATAATCAAAACAAACGGCCCAGTCGAATAGGTATTATGTTCGGATATGTCAATGTTGGGTTGAACGATTTCAATGATCTCCGACACTTCAGCTCTGTCACAGTTTCTGTCATTCTCTTCTTGTTCATTTTGATCATGTTCGTCCAAGCCAAAAATGATAATATTAGACCGACGCTTGGCGCTTTCTTCTATTTCAGCTACAATTTTCTCAGTATAACAATCCAAATTTACTTGAACAGGATTATTTTTGTGTTGCTTCAAAATTTGAACTTCATCCTTTAATTACTTCAATTCATCGTGAAAGGCACTTAGCTGTCTCAAGATAGCAGGAGCACTTTTCATTGCAGTACGACAATCATTGCATAAAAACATTAATGATCGATTCTGTAGTATGACAGCACGATATTCAGTTTCACCAAGATTGGTACATTTTTTGCTGCCATGCAATGTTATAAGACAACTGTCACAGCAAACAAGTTTATCATCGTCTTTGAATTCATTTTTACAGTAACCACATTTATCCATTTTGGAAGTTCTAAGATAATCAGCACACCGCTGGTTTAAAGTTCAATACAAGTGCGAAAAAAGTGCCAAACAAAAATAATGGGAAGAAATGTTGTTGTGTTTTTTTTATGGTAATAACTGACACCTTATCTACACAATTACAGCAAATGATGGATAAATGATGAAAGAATCAAGTCAAAAACATACTACAAATGTAGAACTCCTTTTTCTGAACACTGTGATGTTTAATTTGGGATTTTAACACAATTTCAAACCACTCAAACACTTTAATAACTGTCACATACCAAACACACTGCTTCATGAGTAGACTCATGGTGAGTGGCTCTGCCGAACTCCAAAGACCTGATTCGGTCTCCAGCGGGGCAGGCACAAATTATATACTTTGCTGTTTCATTGTTAATGAGGTAGTCGGATAGTCAAGTTGCAAGATTCCCACCTTGATACCCACGACAACCCTCCCATATGAGGGTTTTTGCACGTCAGTTACACCTGACGATGCCTTAGATTCAGCCGTGCAGGGCTTTTTCCCTCTGGTTTTGGTGAATCATCACTTGAGCGCAAACGTTTGCTAACCTGTTCATGGGGGGTTTGTTCCCCCACCTGAGATAGATTCTGCGTACGCCGCTCAAGAATTTGGTGAAAGGCAGTTTTATAAGGTACCCCGCTATTGAGGAGACAATTCAGTCGTTTCCTGGCTGCACCACCAAATCTTTTTTTTTTAAGTTCAGTTATTGGATCAGCAGTTGGGGAGTTGAGAAGGTCTCGCTCCTAAACTAAATTTACAGGGAGGTCAATTGGAGTCGTAAACTCGACATCCATCTCCTCTGTAGATTCGCTCCTGAACTAAATTTACAGGGAGGTCAGTTGGAGTCGTAAACTCGACATCCATCTCCTCTGTAGACTCGCTCCTAAGTTTACAGGAAGGTCAGTTGGAGTTCTACGCTCGACATCCATCTCTTCTATTCCCGGATCTCAAGAATCAGAGGAGTCTACTTGGAGGAGTGTGAAACAACAGCCTTGAGTTTTCTCATTGCTTCCCGGAAATAGGATTTCGATCAGAAGTTGTAAGGTTTAGTGCATTAACCACTAGGTTAAGATCCTGCACTTTGTTATATTTCCTAGTAAAGCCATCGTTGCAAATGGTAGGAAATTTCAGAACATTGACGCTCTGATTTCTTTATCCAGTTACAATTTATGTTAAATAGCAATAATTCAGTATTTTCAATAATTCATTTCAAGGGTAGGGATGCAAAACCCTATTAAAACTCCCAAGTTAACCGTATTCCTTGTTTTATTGCCATTCTTGAAGTGTCTGCTATCCCAGTATAACTGAGTTGGTCTACAGTGACAAGTGTTGAAAAGGGGTACAAAATTTTTGTGAATTCCTTTAGATGGCGTCCGAATGAGAGCATTCAATTTGGTAACGTTTTTCAGCACTCATAATTGGATTTCTAAAAATAAAAAAATCAAGAACCGACTTGCACCTTTGCCTCCGCAAATCAGGAGCTAGTCATTTCAACTGGGTACATGAACCGCTTTCTTACTCTCGATCAAGATAGAAGAAAGGAAACTCTACAAACTATTCAACTATCATCGATCCACGAATTTTTGTCTTTGGAAAATCCAATCCATTTCACCAGAACTTTTCCATGTTTTCTCTTCAAAATTTTTTTCGCCAAATAAACGACTGGTTGTTTCTGTTTTATTCACTTCATTTCATAAAAACAAACTTTTTTTGGTTTTTCATACATGTCTTCAAGCTCATGATTGCTGGCAATGCGCTATTCACTTAAGCGATTTTAAAAAGTTCAGTTGTGAAATTTGCTGTACAGCCTTCATCGAATATGATTTGGTATTTGCTGATTCGAACCACATCGCCTACTGTGAAATTAGCCTTTTCATATTTCGTGATTTTTTTGACGTGCTCGTACATGTCTTGTTTCATGTATTTTGTATGAGGGAGGATGATTGCCCAATCATTCTCCCTCATACAAACAGAGGTTCACGTCTCCACTTTAACACCGCCACCGCCATTAACAAGTGAAATAAAAGCCAAAAGAACAAGATCACTATTACAGAAAAAACAAAGGACTTCAACATAAACAACGAAGAAAAATGTCAAAAATTATTTTATTTCAACAATGCAGCCTAGCTCAAATATAAGAAATTAAATTGAAAAAATCCTCCACCGAGGACGAAACGTCTTTACATACATCAAAAAGGAAAAACTTTCATTCAACAAGAATCCAAACCCAAGAAACCCCTCTCCAAAAAATATACTAACGCAAATGGCTGGCTGAGCACGACACGAAGACAAAGCCTGCCAGAAACATAAAAATAATCATTTACAACTTTTTACTACAACACTTTCCATCTCAATCTTTCTCTTTTTTGGAGATCACGGTATTGGCGCCATCTACTTTTCATTTCCATCGTCCTCCAATGATAACTCTATAAGGTTGACTGACTATAAATCTTTAGACAATGACTGAAGCCTGATTCTGTCTAATATGTCATCCATCAACCTACTCAATTCAGAAGACTTTTGACATTTTGAGGTTCAAACAGCCACATTTCATCTATTTTATTTGTTGTAGATCTTTCATGTGAATTAGATCGATAGTGGATCAATGGATCGCCAGTTATTTACGGTGAATAGTCCATTGATGGCTGTCTTTTAACTTTCGCCTGTTCATTATGTGGTCTTTATGTGGTGTTACTTTTGTTAGGGTCGGGCAATGACGTAGTGACCGAGTTCCATTTCTGGTCTGAATTTCTCCAATTTGCCGTGGGGTTTGAATGGTTCATCTCATCTTCTACGGATGGGTTCATCGTGGATTCGGTAATCACTGGGAAGGAACTCCTATACTCGGGGTTTCCACTGGATTTCCATGAGGGACCATTTTTCTGCCATGTCTGTGTCAGGTATGGTTTGCCCTAATCGGCCCTACATGAAACAATATAAACCAAAACTCCAGTAAGTTCTTTAAATCACAATCGACTTGAAATCACTTAAATTCAATGAAATGTGAGTCAAATGGCANTTAATGTTCATTTCCCCTTTTTTTATGTTTTGGGTGTATTTCAATACAAAAAATGTAGAAATTTATAAAACTTATACAACATTTTGTTTGGTTATTGCTTATGTTTTCTTCTACTCCCATGGATATTTGTATACAACTGGAACTCTATGCATTTTCGAAACTTTTCTTCTCCTGTTTTTTTTGCAACCAGTAATTAATGAAAATGTACTGGGAACCGTGAAGTCAAAAAGAAACATTAATACCCATGATGTATTCAATCGAAGAGACACTTGATATCGTACTGCAGCTTTCAAGGAATCTTATGAATATGATATTTTGCACTGGTCAATTCCCAGCCCAATTCGGATACTTGAAGGCTATCCCCATACATACATGTAATCATGCAGATAGTGAAAATTTCCGACCAATTAGTATAATTTATTAAGTATCTAAAAATATGGAAATAATTTGAAGAAGTGGTACCGAGATATTTTGGACCGAACAACTATTTCAGTAACAACCAGTTTGGATTTTCAAAAATTTTGTCAACTGCTCAAGATTTGATGAATATTGTCAAAGAATTGATTGAGAGATGTGAGGAGAAAAAGCACTCTGCTTACCTTGTGCTACCTTTCCGGCTGTTGATTGTGTCTTTCAAAAATGACAAAATCTTCGCTCCTTGAATTTATAATATAATCACTATTTGCAAAAATATTCCTCCATTGTTTTTGTATGTTTTATTTATTTATGTATACATACATCAAGTTCAATATTTGATTTCATGAAATTTATATTTTTATCATTTTCAAATAATGTTTGGTCTTATAATAAACTGTACTTAATTTTTTTGTCATATATGTAACTTACATAATATGATCAAATTTACCTATGTGTACATCAGTAATGAAGTAAATTTTATTATTTCACTCATCTTCAACTACTGAGTGATATAGTGTGCAAACTGTAGATTATTTTCAATATTCAGTTATGTGTATTGCATTTATACATTCAACTTTCAATTGTTTGCAGCTCTGCTGAAACCAACAGAGTAATATGGAAGTTCACAGAACTCTCACAACATTCTGAAAATCATGGTGTTGGATCCGTTGCAGCGAGATTCGATTTAGAAAATGGTCCTGGTGCACCACAAACAGTATCTACACAGTTTAATTGCGAAGGAACCACTTTGTCTGGAATCGATTTTCAGTTAATTGGACCAGGATATAGGTTATCTTTGGTGAAGAGACGATTTATTTCTGGCAAGTACATCTGTGACGGAGACCAGAAATTCAGTTCAGGAACAGGGACGCCATCCACTGTGTCGACGGTATCATCTATTGGTGATCTCAATTGCTAGCATTCCTACATATCCCCTTTGCAATACCCTTTCTGTTTCTTATACATTTATAATTCATCAGTTTTCATTTATGACTATTCCCATGTTACATATAGCCTATATATTAACATAGTTTATGAAAGCTATTTTATATTCAAATAAAGAGTTGGAGCACCTTTCTACATATTTAATGAAGTTTGCAAATGAAGAAACACGTTTGTGTCCGTTATAAAGAATCTTCTTTCATGAATCGAGCAACAGATTAATGTTTTCCAATTTCCACCCAAAAAGTGTAATGGATTTTTTAAGAAAATATGTTTGCTATTTCAACGTCCCTAACTATGTTCAATACCCTAGAAGTGTTACTTGAAGAAAATTTTTGTAATTCAAACATCTTTCACACTGGGAACATTTCTTTGACTACCATCCTTGTGATGCCGCTCATATTTGGGAAAAGTATGAACAATAAATGACCCATTACTTTGGTTATCGTCCATGTGAGGGCGCATCACAATTTTTTCAGCAGACTCTTGTTTTGAATTCTTGAAACTTTTCATTAACAGAATTTATAATAGTGATAAGACTAAATTATTGTCCACATTTTTCTGATGTCTAAAATTGAAAATATGAGTTGATAAAGGAAAATAATTTAATTGACCATTCAGTCATATAAATCTGATTAATCAATCTTGTATCTTTTGATCTTAACATGCAAGAGGAGACACCTACCCGCATAATTTAGCACAGTAGTTCAGTTATTGACTATATTTGTAGTAACTTAGATAACAAAGAGGTTCATTGTTCAATAGAAACTTCTGGTTTCTTTGACAGCGAAATGGTTAATGTTACTATAACGATTGACTCAGTTGAAGAAAAACTAGAAAATTCAAGCATGGACGACTGACTCTGCAAACCCTCAGATTTTTGATAGATTCTACCAAAGATGTCTTCATACTAACTGTAATTATATTATAAAATATTGGAAGTGAAAAGCATTGGATTAAATGTCATACAGGTTCCCTCCAGGAATCTGCGTCCTCTTAACTATATAAAAAGATTTAAGGACGATAAACTCATTCATAACCTTGTTGAAAGTTTTATATATAGGTATATATAAAAGTAATTAAACATGCAAATATTATTCACTATGATAGGCAAGCAATGAACCGTGTGGTCCATGATTACTGATTTGAGGGGAAACAAAAAAAAAGTTGATATATCAATAAATGCAGACAAACTGAATAATTATCATTGCACTATTGCAGAAGAATCAACAAAAAGCATACCATTTCCCTATAATCTCCACTAACTCATTTAAACAATATTGTAATTCAATATTACTTTCTACAGATGTGAGCTAGGAGAAGTGATTTATTCTTTTAAAATAGAAAGACAACCAGCTGAAACGAAACCTCAGTTGAAATGTTTCATCTTTCCTGATGCCATATTGAATTAACTAGCGTTTGTAGTAGACTTATCCTTTAAGTCTGTGGAACAAAGAACAAGTAGTACCAGAGAATTCTCACAGTGATCCTCAGATCTTCAAGAAACAAGAACCCAAAGCAACCCAACTAAAAGTACAGTCTCTTCAACGCTGAGGAAACACGTGTAAGTTGAAAGCCTCTACTCATCCACAGTGGAGCACTAGCTTTATGAAGTAGGATTTCATCCTCTACAACCAAAGAAAGCACCACAAAACGCAACAAGAGGAAAACAACTCACAAAAACTCCGTCTCGAGAGTCCTGTGGATTAGGAACACCCAGTAAAGCCCCTGACAGCGAATTTCAAGACAACCCCAATCATCAAACCCTGTTGGATCCTCCTGTGGATAGGAACACTCAGTGAAGCCCCTGGCAGAAGATTCCAATGCCCCATCGCGAGTGTAAGTGACTTTGTTTCATCATATCAACTAATTGTATTCAAAGTTCTCTTATCCATTCCATTTCCACTCAATTTTACCCAAACCAAAAGTTCTTCATACAGCTAAAGGAAACTAAAAAAAAATCTTCATACCGCTGAAGAGAAAGAGTTCACAACATTCAAAACTTTCATTCAACTGAAAAATAACAATGGCAAATGCAAACACAAACAATCAGAAATCAAACCATACAAACTATCTGAATTTTTTTCATTAATTCCTGATTATGATGCGTACTACTTACTACATACTACATTTTTGAATGCATGTGAGCAAGCTTTACAAGTAGCTACAGATTATCAAATGTCTTCTCATAACTCATTTCAAAAATCGATGAAAAAATAAAGCAGCAATTCTAGTAAATTCTCAAAATCCTAAAACCTACACCGCAATACAAAATGTATTCAATACTCATTTTCGTGATTCTTGTGATATAACTTCACTCATTCAAGGTATTGCTTTCCATTCACACATACAAAACCACAATGCAAAAATGATATTGTGTATAAATAAATCCACTCCTACACCAGAACAAAAAGACGCACAAATTACTTTAATAAATAAAATGTCATCAAACACCTCACTTACAGGTAGGTCTAGAACCTCGAATTGGACAAATAATACATGCAAACAATCCCAAAAATATGGCAGAAGCAGCACAATGCATTGAAAGAGAAATCCAACTCTCTTACTTCGAATCTTGAAAAATTTCAAAATCCAACACAAGTTTCAATCAAAAACCGAGACCAAACTCGAACTTCAGGTCGCCAACTCCAAACCAATCTAGTCGATTTCAAAAACAACCACAACAATCAAATTCACAAAATCAAACACATTTCCAGCCACTTCCAAATTTTCAAAATTAGAATCGATTCAATTTTCAAATACGTTCCCAAACAAATTCCAATTTTTCAATTTCACCTCAAAGACAACCAAATTTTCAACAAATAAGACAATACGAATTACCAACAACAAAGAAATCCTGTAATACAAGCTAACCCAAATTGTTAAAAACCCAATAGGTACTTAAAAAACACATTTTATGAACCCAAACTATGAATCTGAAAATCAATATTCTTACAATCACCCAATTACGACAACTTTAATTATACCGCTAATGAAGAACTTTTTCATAAGCATTATGAATAAGAACCATATTATGAAACAGAATATTATTCATATCCAGAATATAATACATTTAATTTCGAATCGCAAGATTTCGACGACGCAAATTTTTCACAAATGACCTCGAACCAATTAACAATTATGTAGCCGAAAACAATGATTATTATCAGGATTGAACCTACCTTTATGCATCTTTTCAGATTTTATCAGATATTATCAGGATTTTCAAATCGACAATCTTTCCCCCTATCAGAGAAACCCCAGTCAGCAAAACACTCGATACTACGAACAAAGAAACATCAAAAGAAATGATTACTCAGAAATTCCTCATTTAAATGCAAGATTACACACAGTCAGTCCAAACAATTTTCACTATATCTGTGACATAGCACAAACCTTCAAATTATTAATTGATACAGGAGCTAGTATCTCAATTTTGATCCCATTCAAGAACAAAACGAAAACCAAGAATCCAAATTACAAAAATCTCAATTCACACAGAAATTCTCACCCCTAACCTGGCAATTGAACAAAAAACCAGAAAACAAAAATAAAAAATCAGATTATGAAGTTAAATTTAATACTCAAACTTCAACCGCAGATATTAATGATATTTTTGAATATAATCCAGATAATTACTTCTTTGGTTGATAGATAGATACATTTATTTCAACAGAGTATTTTATAATCATTCACAGGAGTGGCAGAATATTTTTGTCCTGAGAAATACGTCAAAAGGAAAATTGTAAAAATATCAAATATGTGTACATATAAATCTAAAAATGAATGAATATCTTCAAGTTTCAAGCACGATTACAAACATTTTAAAATGTGCGTCATATTGTGCATGATTACTGAAAGTATAGATAATTTCTATAAATACATGGCGCAATTTTGAATAAAATTTGGTTCATAAATTTCTACAGGCCAGAAAACATTCATCAGTACTGTAGGGCTCTAGATTACATAAGAATTTTCTTACAGATTTCACAAATCTGTTAGCAACGACGATATTTTTTATGTTTTTCGGAAGATTATTATAAAATTTCATTTTTAGTATAGATAGTGCAACGTTCATATAGGGATTTTGCATGGATGGGATATGAGAAGTCTTTTTTTCGTCTTGTCTCATAAATATCCGTTTTGCGATGTATGTCAAAATGGTCTGGATGATTGATGATAAATTTTATTGATTCATAGATCTAGATTGTTGACACAGTAAGTAGTTTGTTGATCTTAAAGGCTCCTCTGCGGGATCTCTTGTATTCATATTGAAGATTATTCTGATAATTTTTTTTGACATAGGAAAACTCTATTGAACCCATGGCATGAGCCCCAGATGATTATCCCTAATAAAAGTTGTTTAGTTTACATGGACTACATAATTATCTATTCAGTAACATTCCATGACCATATTTCCAGATAACAGTAATATTTAAACGTTTAAAAAAGCAATCCTCAAAATTCATCCTTGTAGATGTGAATGCCTAAAAAAAAGGAAGTAGCATACTTAGGACATATTATAACTGATCAATGAATGAAACCAAACAACGATTAAATCTAAGCTATAAGGTATGAGACCCAAATTCAGACACTGTCCTAAATTCCGACACATTTCTGTTTATACGACTGAAATAGGAAATTTACAAAATATAGATACATGTTAAGACATCTGATGATGAAATCCCACATTAATTAATTAGGTCAAGATTCGTTTTCTACCTTACCGACACTATCACAATCAGGACGTAACCTTAAAGTTGGATAGTGACTGAAAGTTGTGTGTTGTGTTCATTTGTAAAGTATTTCCAATAAGGTTAGCAGATTTCGACTATAAGTTTCTTAGCCACAAGTCACTACTAAATGAGTAAATCTGAATAAACTTCATGGGGTTGAATATAAAGTCTTCAAATTTTAATATAAATAGGGTTTACTGTTAGTATAATTACCGCATTGAAAAATTTAAATAGTGTCGGAATTAGGTACAAGTAAATTCGTTTGTTTCCCAATTCAGACAATGGGTGTCGGAAATGGGTACATCTGATATTTGGTAGATATAGTAGATTGGTAGATATTCGCATCAAATAACGTAAGTATATACCGTTATGTATAGCAGAGTTCCTTTTAGAAATCAT